ATTACTAAAACACATGCCTGTCTTCTGATTAGCAAGATACTTGACTCAGACAAATCTTTTTTTTTATCACTTTAATTCTTATTTATTCATTATTTAAGGTATTTGTCCAATTAAATATTTTTCTAGATATTGTAGTCATGACAGAAAGAAAGAGACACAGGCTTCTGTAGAAGGAGGTTGCTTGTTCATCCTGGCCGTCCAGAACTGAAATAATCACACAGAAACTGTATTAATTAAATCACGGCTTGACCCATTAGCTCTAGCTTCTTATTGGCTAACTCTTACACTTTAATTTAACCCATTTCCATTAATCCATGTATCGCCACAAGGCTGTGGCTTGGGTAAGATTCCCAGTGTCTGTCTCAGGTGGTAGATCCATGACTTCTTTCTGATTCTCCTTTTTTCCTCCCAGCATTAGTTTCATTTTCTCTACCTACCTAAATTCTGCCCTATCAACAGCCCAAGGCAGTTTCTTTATTCATTAATGGTAATCACAGCACACAGAGGGGACTCCCACACCAGGGTTCAATTAAGAAAAGCAACTCTCAAAGTATTCTAAATACACTGGTGGAAAGCACACAATTGTAAAATAGACCTAACCACACTGATTATTAGTGAAACTATTTGGGGCTGAGGAGATGGCTCAGTGTTTAAGAACACTTCATGGTTTTTGCAAAAGACTTGTGTTCAGTTTGCGGCATCGATGTCAGGCAGCTAAAAATAGCCTGTAACTCCAGTTCCAGGGGATATGACTTCCTCATTTGGCCTCTTTGAGATGTTTCTTTTGTCTCTTTCTCTTAACTCTGGAATGAATAGGCATGTACATGTATCTCCCGAGGAAAGTTAATGCAATAAATTGGTGTCCAAACAGAGACCCAACAGGACACAAATTAGAACAGCTCATTGTATGGGTAATAAAACATAGCTGAGGTTGAACTGAGAGTAGAGTGTCAGTGAAGATTAGTGAAAATGGTCATCTTTTTGTTTGTGGAACAAAATGAAATGAGTCTTTGCAGTAGTGGCCATTAGAATGGGAAAAAGACATGCAGGAGACACCCTCCATGTCTTCTTCTGATTTGACAGGGAAATTGGATAAGAAGGTGATGACAACAATGGATGGGAGAGGAAAGTGTATTTCTAGATAACTTAAAAGCTGATGTAACCAGATTTTGGTTGAACTTGAGTGCTTAAGAATAAATTTGACAAAAGGCCAAATGTTATATATGAGGTCCTGATGGGCATTAAATTCTAAACAACTATTCAAAAAGAATAATGCATGCATACATCTCCCACTGCAACTATTGCTGTGAAGGAAGATTTTATTTTCTGGGAACCATCTTAGACATTTCTATAATAGCATGGCCAAGGTTGCCTACAAGTGAGGACTGTGCAGTAAAGACAACGGGCAACCGTGTGTAACTATGGTGATAGAATAGTTCAGATGGGAAAGTAGTTATTTTCCCCACCCCCAAGTACATTTTATTTCTTTTCGCCAAGCAGGAAAATATGTTGGTGGTGAAGATGTCACATCCTGCATAGCACTTTTTGCCTGAGAGTGAGAAATGAAGCTAGATGACTCAAGGAAAATGACTGTAGATTACAGAGAACTAAATACCATGATAGCTCCAGCCATTGTTCTTTTGATTTAAAATTTCAGTAAGTGGTAGGATCTTTCATGGTCTTTGTACCTCTTTCCATTCTGAATCCAGAGCCCATTTGGTTCTGTTGATTATTTTAAAGATTTAGAGAAACATCCTAATGAAACTATCTATACATATGTAGAGAATCAGGACAGAAATTCAATTTGCACAAAAACAAGGCCCAGACAATAGAAATTCTGGGGAGTCTCATGGTTGGTTCAAATTCAGATGATGCTTGACATGATGGTTGAGAAAAATCTATACAGCAACATATGCAACTGAAAATAAAAATATCAGTTAATAAGTTTAAACATAGTAGAGATGGGTGCACACAGTTGCTTCAAAACATTTGGTTATGGAATGGTAATTCCAGTGAAGTAGCAACCCTTCCTTAGCATTACTCACTGGAGAGCCCTGTGAGGACTCATTATACATTATATAGGTTATTGTGAAAGATTGTGGCTACACACAGGAACCAGATGATAATCTCATATTTCTGAAGACTGTACAAGCTCTAGTGGCAGAGCATGTGGAAAACAAGCTGAAGTTCCTTAAACTTCATCCTTTCTGAATAACATGTAGCCATAGAAAGCAATATGCAGGACATTGGGTAAAACTGTTACCAGTGACACTGTTTGATGGGAGATCTGTGGTAATGTCATTATCACGATAGGCAAGATGTGACTTTGGTTCAATAGTGTCATTGGTGATATAGACATAACAAACTAGGTTCACAATTAATTTTAAGGCAAATTAAGAGGAAAGACAGGACTTTAAAAACAAACAACAAAGCTGGTCTCTACAAACTCTATGAAACACCCCTCTTCAAACCAAGGAACCCACTCACAACGTTACTGAAGGGCTAGAGAGATGGCTCAGCAGTTACAAGAACTGGCTGCTCTTCCAGAGGACATAGGTTCAATTCTGAACACTCACATGGCAGATCATAACCATCTGTAACTCCAGTTCAGGGGCTATCTGAGGCCTTCTTCTAGCCTCCAAAGACATTGCAAACTTGTAGTTAACAGACAAAATATGCAAACAAAAAACTATACACACAAACTAAATAAATGCTAAATAAATAAAAATAAAAAAGGAACATTATTGCCCTTTTCCTTAGTAAACATTTCAGCTTAGTAGTATGAAACTTAGCACCGAAAACGTCACATAGTGTAGAATCCACTGTAAGGGATTCTCAGCGAGGAACTTTTTAAATTAGGATTACCTGTGTGCCTACTAGAGAGGGATTCTCTTAATTGGAATACTTGAGGTGGAAAGTGAGTGTGAGTGGAGTAGGCTCTGGATTGAATGAAAAGGGGAGAGCCAAAAAGACCTATTATGCATTTATTAACTCATTGCTCTCTGCTCTAGAGTGTGATGAAGTGTGAGCTACTTCAAGTCCATTTCACATTCAATTTGCGATGATGGACTGTAACCTGGCTTTGTGAGTCAATAGATCCTCATACCTTAAGTTGATTTTGTCAGGGTATTGCATCACAGCAACAAAATGAAACTAAGAAAGGTAGTTATACCATTTACATAGTTTTACATTTAGTCCATCTTCCAATAACAAACAGCATTGTGGGTAAAATGGCTTCTGAACCAGCTTCTGATTATTCTTTGAAAGAGAGTACCATAGACTTTCATAGAGGTAGACAAAGGGTAGAGAAGTGGTAGACCAAGGCTTTGAACTCCAGTTGCTAAATGCTGCCCCTTGCCACTTCTTGACTTGGTCTACCCTTTGCTTGGCATTGTACTGACTTCCTGACTTTACCTTTCTACTTGCTGGAATAAAGCTTGATAACCTTTTCTACCTTTCTCTCAGCCTTAATTCTCTTGTGCTAGCATAAGGATCTGGACTACTGCTGCAATCAAGATGTCTGGTAATGTAAGAGGACCCCTGTTTGCTTCCCCTTATCTATAACTTTTGGGAATGGATTTAACTGGAGGGGTGTATTTTTGTCAATGTTTTCCAAATTCCATATGTAGCTGAGGATTACCTTGAATTTCAGATACCCCACTCCAAGTCCCAAGTGCCAGGACTACAGGCGTAACATGATGTTTTAGTTAGGATTTCTATTGCTGTGATGAAATGCCATGACAAGGAGAAATTGTGAAAAAAAGGTTCATTTGTCTTACACTTCCACATTGTGGTCCAACACTGAAAGAAGTCAGAACAGAAACTCACACAGGGCAGGAAACTGGAAGCAGGAGCTGGTGCAGAGATCATGGACATGTGTTACTTACTGGCTTGCTCATCTCTTTTTCTTGTAGATAATTAAAATTTTTCTTTTGTAAATTAAAAAACACCATAAGTTCCTTCTTCATGCAAATCAGATAGATCATGTAGAAACCTATCCTGATCTTAAAGAAAATATGCGTTTTCTATTTCCATCCATTTGCATGCAAAATTCAAGATATCATTGTTTTTTACCGCTGAGTAAAACTCTAATGTGTATATGTTCCACACCTTTTTAAACCATTCTTCTATTGAGGGGCACCTAGGTTGTTTCCAGGTTCTGGCTATTACAAATAGTGCTGCTATGAACATAGTTGAACAAATGCTTTTGTAGTATGTTAGAGCATCTCTTGGGTATATTCCCAAGAGTGGAATTGCTGGGTCCTGAGGGAGGTTGACTCCCAGTTTCCTGAGAAACCGCCACACTGATTTCCACAGTGGCTGCACAAGTTTGCATTCCCACCAACAATGGATGAGTGTTCCCCTCACCCCACATCCTCTCCAGCATAGGCTATCGTTGGTGTTTTTGACTTTAGCTATTCTGACAGGTGTAAGATGATACCTCAAAGTTGTTTTGATTTGCATTTCCCTGATTGCTAAGGAGGTTGAGCATGACCTTAAGTGCCTTTTGGCCATTCGAAGTTCATCTGTTGTGAAGAGTCATTTTAGGGTTTACAGGAGACTTGATTATAGATGGGATCCCAGGTCCAAGGAGAGATCCCCAGATTGTTCTCTGGACAGAGGAGAGGGTGCCTGAAACGGCCTTGGCCCATAACCATACTGATGAATATTTTGCTTCTCACCATAGAACCTTCATCCGACGATGGATGGCGATACAGACGAAGACCCACATTGGAGCACCGGACTGAGTCCCCCAAGGTCTAAATGAGGAGCAGAAGGACGAAGAAATTGAAAAAGGAAATAAGGACTGCGAGAGATGCGATCACCCACTGATACAAGGGGACAGATCTAATGAGAGTTTACCAAGGCCAGTTGGACTGGGACTGAACGAGGACGCAATCCAACCAGATTCTCTGAATGTGGCCGGATTCTTGAATGTGGCTGGCCCGGAGTCTTTCTGAAAATCCATTGACAATGGCACTGGGACTTGTTTCCTCTGCATATACTGGATTTTGCGGATCCAGTCTGGCTGGACACTCACCTTCCTGGACCTGGAGGGAGGGGGGAGGAACTTGAACTTCCCACAGGGCAGGAAACCCTGACTGCTCTTAGGGATGGAGAGGGAGGAGGAGAGGGAGTGGGAGGAGTAGGAGGGTGGTGGGAGGAGGGGCGGAAATGGAAACTTTTATAATTTAATAAAATTACTTTAAAAAAATTTAGCATTATAAAGAGTATATTGAGCAAAAAGTTTCAGATACAAAAGTAATATTTATACTTTGGTGTGTTTAGTATACTTTAATGATTGTTTTGAAAAAAATTCATTATTAGAAAAAATAATATAATTCACTTTATATTATTATAGTACATAGTTCTAATCTTATTTTCAGATTATGAAATAGAGAATTACCTGAAAGACTCCAATACAGGGTTTTTAGTTTGTGAGCTTAAGCTTACAAAGATATGTATGCAAAACTGCGCAGTCATGTGCTGGGAGGCCAGAGGTTGAAAGCATGACACAATTATGTTCACCATGGAAAAGTTCTGTTATCCTACAATGGTGGAAACACAAAATGAATATATATTTTATGTGGATAATCTATTAAGTGAGTGACTCCTATAAATAAGTGCAAAAGAAGGATGCAAGTAGGCAATGGTGTTTTCACTAATAGTGTGGTAAATGCTGATTATTAAGAAAGCCAAGTAGCCAATTCTGCAGATTCACATAAGGAGTTCATGAAGGTCAGCTTCTTTCTGCCTATTTATAATTCTACTTCATTTATTGACACCATTCTTTTGAGGCTTTCTTTTTCTGATTTTTTTCTTGTCTATTGCATCATTCATGAAAACTTACTTTGGTTTGAAAGTTGAGTCTTTTCCCCAAACCCAGGGTTGATCTCTGCTCTTCCGAAAGACTCCAATCCATGTGTTAAGTGAGAGGGATTGCAGAAAGTTCTGCCAGGGAATCAAGGAATTTTATTAGTATAAAGTCTTATACTGTCTTTCAAATGTGTTAGTATATTCTGTCATAGTATGTTTATTATCTAGTACAAACCAACTTATTAAAGTTGAGAACACTACTTACTACGTTGCCAAAACATTCACATACATATGTAATTTTGACTTAAAGTTTACTTTCAAATGTTTACAATTATAAATTTTATTCTTCTATTAGTAGGATACTTGGCAACTTATTTATGTATATATATATATATATATATACATATATGTTCACAACACAAACATAACAGGGATTCAAGCAAATTTCTGGAAGTTATGCATGAAATTCTCTAGGTGTTGACCTCAAATCAATTTTTCTACTGTTTCTCAAAGTTCAGTTTTAGAAAGATGGTTGTGGCTTGCTATTGATGAAATGGGTGATGTAGTGGACATAGTTTCTGTTTTATGGGTGCCATGTTATCACTAAGTAACTGAACCTCCACTGTTGTCAATCACTGTAGAGGTAGCTTACTAATAGGGTAGCTCTAAAGGTTCTCTTGGCTATTGTTATAAATAAAGGTCAAACTTGGGGAGTTATAATCAAAGAAACAATCAAGAAATTTTGAAGGCCTGAAACAAAGCTGAAAGGGCTTGACACCTGAAGGTAGGGGACTACAGAATGGCAGGACATCTTGTTTCACTCATTCAATGGAAGGAAATTACCCTATATATTCTTTCTCGGCACCCAGCAACAACATGTAGATTATGTGAGCTCTCTCCTCCATGTCTAAGAGAGACTAACTGGCCGGTAGCACTCTGCAAGGCTGAAAGCACCTAATGCGGTAATTGGTCATGTGAAGGGCTTCTCTTACTTGCTGAAGGACACCAGTGCAGGAGCTGGTGTTGGGGATCCCATGAGTACAAATAGCCATGTAATATGCCACTGTCTTTGAGGGTGTCACACTCACTCCTTCCTTCAGGGAACTCCAGATAGAGTGGATTTTGGAATGTTATGCTTATATAACACAGCAGTGAAAATCCACAGACTTCAGATCAATGCAGGAGCATGGATCAATGATTTGCTCTAAGAATAATAGTGTTTGATTTCAACATTCCAAATGCTGCAATACTTTTATATAATTCCTCATGTTGTGGTGAACCAAAACCATAAGATCATTTTTATTTTCTACTTCACAACTGTAATATTGTTACTGTAATGAATCATGCTATAAATATCTGATATTCCTTATGGTCCTAGGTGACCACTGTGAAAGGGTCATCCACCCTCAAAAGGATTGTGACACACACGTTGATAACTGCTGAGTTGCAGGGTGTTTATTCAACAGTGCATATATATGTCTGATCCAAGACTTACAAAACTCAGTGGCAAGTGCATCTATTTATAGTGAGTCAGAAAAAAATGTTTTGTGCAGGTACATCTGGTGAGAGTATGCATAGGAAAGGGAATTGAAGGAAATCAAAATGTCTGCCTAGTTATTTGACTATAATTACTTCTGCCAATTCATATTCCTATCATGTATTGACTATCATACACATACAGATATTTTTGTGTATGATAAAATTAAATGGCAAAGTTAATTTCAGAGTAAATGCACTTGTAGAAGAATGGTTTTCATAAAATTAAAAAATCTGGATATAAGTATTCAGTACCAGTACACAAGAATAGATAAAATGTTCTAAAATAAAGCAACAAAATATTATGCAAAGTCATAAATACATAAAACATGTATAAGAATATGAATGGAACCAAAACACATCACATTGGCAGGAACATTTAAGCAATGATGGACACATGGCAGCTCTTACCTGCTCCTCTTCACTCTCTATGTAAAGCAGACTAGCGTTTTTGGTATTGCAGGACACCAAATTGTCAGTCCAATTTTTCTTCTCCACACTAATGTAATAAAAATTGTGGGAATATGACATCCACTCTTTTGGACAATGACAAAGGTGTCCTGAAGAAATGTGAATTTAATAATGAAAATTAATATGTTTTTATGGATTTGGACCTTCATGTAAAATATTTATTTACACAATTTGATAAATATAAAACAAAATATATACTCCATCACACAAAGAAAAGAGTCTGTCCAATGGCCCCTGAATTTATTCATCTGAACTAAATAAGTAATTTTTATGATGTAGGTGGGTCTTCTTTCTATGTGTTGCTTTCATTGGTTAATTAATAAAGAAACTGCTTGGCCTGATAGGTCAGAACATAGGTAGGCGGAGTAGACAGAACAGAATGCTGGGAAGAAGGGAAGTGAGGCAGTCGCCATGCTTCTCCTGCCCAAGATAGATTTTGGATAGAATCCTCCCGGTAAGCCACCACCTTGTGATGCTACACAGATTATTAGAAATGGGTTAGATTAATATGCAAGAGTTAGCCAATAAGAGGCTACAGATAATGGGCCAGGCAGTGTTTAAAAGAATACAGTTTCTGTGTAATTATTCCAGGTAAAGCTAGCTGTGAGTTAGAGGGCGGGAACGCAGCCCTCTGCTCCATTCACGACATTTTTACTCTACAAAATTATTCAAAGTCTCTAAACATGAGCATTATTCTAGAATAGTGAATTCATTTCTGTCTTGTCATAGTTCACCAGTTGGAAAAAATCAAAGAAATTATTAAACTTTTCATGGTTATTTTGTCTGAGTATCTCTTATTGTGGCACAAAAGAATTATTATCCTTAACGTTTACTTATGAATATGTAGTGTTCATGTTTCTAGGTATTTTATTCCTAGAAATCTACTATCATCTTTTCATGGCTTTAGTCAGACACAATGTATAATGTGTAAAAACATCAGAACTTTGACAAGAAATGCATACCTTTCTGGGGTCCTGACTTGGACAAGTTGATTTGCTCCTTTTCTTTAGGATCTGATGAGTTAAAATAATTCTTATGTAAACAAGCATGTAAAATATTGTAACAATTTTAGTTTCTTAGTTTGGAGCTGAGGTACTGTCTTGAATAAGGATATAGGGGAATACAATTGATTATCAAAAATAAATAATATGGTGAAAACTATATCAATGAAAGCCCAGGTTTCATCATTTTTTCCCATATAACCTATGATAAAGTCCTTTTAAAACATCTCAGTAAAGAGTTTCTAAGGTTCTAAACTATGTGTTTGAGTTATGAAATCACTGATAAAACCAAAAGCAAACAGTTCATACAATTTGATAATACATTGATAACATCATAATACCATTTCACATCTAATACGAATGCAGACTTTATATTAAAAACTCCTCTTCTTGGTAAGTTTTGAATGACAGTTTCAGCCAATAAAGTGAAGAGTGCCTTTATGTTTTAAAAGCATGCTTACAGCTTGAGAAAACTGTAGTAATTAAAACCACAGCGACCAATAAGGCAAAGCCAATGACACCCAGGAAAACAGTGATGAGTTTTTCCGGAGGAGATGGAAAACCTGCAGAAAGAAATGTAGGGATGAGGAGTGGCAGTTCACAAGGTTTACGTACACAAAAAGTCCACATACACAGTGAGTCAAACAGACAAACGTTGACCCCAGATCCTCCTCTACACCGTTATCGTCTGTAGGCAGTCTCATCACAACAGGATCTTTGTAAATTCTTGCAACAGAGTGACATCCACGCTCACAAATTATAAAAGCATGGATCGAGTTAGAGCTCTGGTCCTCACACGGAGAGACCACTGCCACCTCTGCACCCATCTCTTCATGCCCCTGGCATCTCAGAGCAGTTACAGTGAGGGTCCATTCAGTGTCTCACCTTTGCAGCAGCAGTCCCTGCAGACCGAGGGATGGTCTGGAGAAGGATTTTGAAAGCTGAATTCCACATAGGTGATTTCCTGCTCAGTTACTGAGATGGAGCTGCGGGTGCCCGTTGGTTGCCTTTTCTGGTTCCTTGAATCCTTCGACACATTCAATTCTACATAGGTGACTCTTTCATTACTCATCTCGGCAGCTGAATGATGCCAGGGCCTGTGCCCTGCAGCTGCTCATCAAAAGGTACACATTCTGATGCAGCCAAATGGGTGGGGTTTGGAACATCGGAGCTATTTTGAGGTTTTAATTTGTAATCTGTTTTTTTGCCCCATGAACAATGAACTCATGTACTGTGGTAAAAATAAAAAGTAAAAAAACACATAAATAAATAGAGTTTTTAAAGACAATCCACTTTTGACAAAATATTTTTGTTAGCACAATAACTTTGTGAAGAACAAATATGTCTATAAACAAAAAAATTTTACAAATTAAATTTAGTTTTCATAAAAGTAACACTATGAAATGTTTAAAGCTTACATCAAAGATCCCTACACTATATAACACAAAAGAAAGTTGCATTAATTTTTATGACTTAAATTTTTTTAGTTTTGAGAATTTCACACATGAGTACCATATTTAAATAATTTCCATCCCTCTCTCTTCCCCCCAAGCCTGTTCCATGAACTCCACTCTCTCTTGAATCCATGACTTCCTCTTTAATTATCATTGTTATATACACATGTGCAGGCATACAGAACCACCTGCTGAACCTTCATAATAAATTTAAATTTAACAATGAGCAAAGACTGATTGCCTTAAATGGGTAGTCTAGGATAGTTGATAAACATACATGCACATAAATCTAGCAATTACATTTAATAGCTAATAAATTCATAAAAGTAAATGGCGTTATTGAGTGTATTTTATTTGAAGTAATTGAAGAGTATAGAGAAATCACTGAACATTTAAAGATGTAAATATTAGAAAATGGTATGTCAGAATAATCTTGCATAAAATAAACAGTACTAAAAGTACTTTCAAAGTGATTTTAATACCCACTTTATTTAAAGAAATAATCATCTAACACATGAAACCATAACATGAGAAAAGTAATTCAACTAGAATGATGACAGTTCAAATTATCACAAAGAGTCTGAGGCTGTCAAAGTCAGTATCATTTTAATCATGTACAATCCAACTGAAATAGCTCAACATAATTGATAATTCAAGCAATTAGTCCAGGAATCAGCGAGACCTAGAATTATTTATGGCTTTAAAACTTACATGTGAACTTTGAGAAGTTACCTATAGCCCAGTGAATTTGTCTAAAATTTGAAATAAAACTTATTTAAGGCAATTAATACTTACCATTGTCATGCAGAAATCTCAATAAATGCTATTTTTTAGTCTTAATTTCTACTATGACTATTCCTCACTACTCAGTCCTTTCAAGAATCTGTGACATCTGAGATAAATCCATATGTTGTTATCCAAAGATCTACAGAGCACAAGTTGCAACAGTTAAAATCCATACCTCATCATCAAGTCTCCTGTGGATGTAGGTTTAAGTATACTGACAAGAAAATATAAACACGAGCTGGTGACGGACGCTCCACAGACAACAAGGACAGAACTTTGAGGCAGTCCTCCAGGGAATTCCACACTCTTGGATTATCCGAGCTGTTTAGAGGCATCCACACTCTAGTTTAGTTCCCTGCATCAGAACTGTCCCTTAGTTACTCCACATTTCACATTTGCAGTGTTGTGTCAACTGACTGGGCTGGCGGAGAGGAGGCCAATGTCAAGCTCCCTCTCCTGCCAGAAAGCCAGGGCTCCTGCAATGAGGTGAGGAGCTCACAGGAGGTCTGTGGGAGATGAGCATGAAAAAGTGAAAGTCAGTGGCAGAATCCAGGACAACAGTGACAGTGAACTAGACAGGCTGCCACATGATGCTCAGGGTGAGTTATGAGTGGAAAACGAGATTTCTCACTAATGTGTCTCTGAAGGCTGAACAGGAAATTCTCATACCCAACTGATTTGGAAATCAGTTTTTCTTCTCACACCTTTACAGTATAGGACACACTGGGTTTCCCTCTGAGGCACAAAGTGGTCCTATAGTGTGATGTGTAGTGTGGTCTTTTCTAACTGTTTCACTAAAACCATTTGCATTTGTATAAGCTAGAGAGGTCAGTGCAGGGAGATCGGCCGTACATGGAGCCTTCTACAAAGGGCTTCTACAAAATCATTATTATTTTAGAAGAGAGACTTAGATTTGCAAGCCTTGGTTTTACACTAGAATACTGTTTTCCTTTTCTTTCCTTTTATCCTCCTTCCTTCTCTCCCTCCTTCTCTAATTTTAGTAGAGCTTCTTCCTTAAGCTGTTCATGTCAAGTGTGTACATTATAACACACTTACACTCTCTCTGTATTTATATATGTGTACATATATAACTTGTATACATATTTATACACATGTACACATATATAGTTTACATATGTATGTATTATAAATACATAGAGATACATATTTAAAATCTTAATTATACTCTAGTGGAAAATTATAAATTCATAGAAATATTATGAATAAAACACAATGCTATCTATGACTGATTTTTCTGAGCAGTGATCAGATTTTCAACCTTTTATGACTGGCACAAAAAAACAACCTTGCACACTCATCATATTACTCATGTGTTTCTGTTTAATATCTTACAATTCCTAAGTTATTTAATTTTATGTGTATAGATGTTTTGTCTTTATGTTTGTCTATGTACCATATGCATACCTCGTGTCTTTAGAGGCCAGAAAAGGACACTGGACCCTCTTAAAGTGGATTTATAGAAGACTGTGTACCACCATATGGGTTCTGGAAATTGAACCTGAATCTGATAGAAGAGCAGTCAATGTACTTAATCTCTGAACTATGCCCCCAACACCTGTTGTAAGAGGCTGTTTGTTCATTTTCCAGCTTTACAGACTCCCAAAATAGTCACATAAAACTATATTATTTAAATCACTGCTTGGCCAGTCACTTACGTATATTGCTTGCTAACTCTTACATCTAGTATTAACCAATTTCCCATAATTTATAATTTACTATGAGATTCATGGCCTACCAGCAAGGTTCTGGTGTCTATGTCTCTAACAGTGACTTCATGACTTCTCCAAACTCTGCCTTCCTTCTCACAGCATTCAAATTAATTTCCTCACCTAACCCAGTTCTACTCTGCTATAGGCTTGAAGACAGTTTCTTTATTAACCAGTGGTATTCACAGCATACAGAGAGGAATCCTACAACACCTTCAATTTTCTGTTTAAATAAAAAGGAAGGTTTTAACTTTAACATAGCAAAATTACTTATAACAAAACAGGTATCAAGCAAGAATTATAGTTACAATATTTATATCTATTTTATCTTTTATTATAACTAAAGAAACCTATAATTATCAATTCTTCAACTACATCAAAGATCAAAGAATGATATAATATTACCTAAGTAAACAGGAAGTGCATTGTAAGCAACTTCCAAAACTCTAGAATTGATGGAGACATCTTGCTGCCTGAATATTTACCCAAAGTTGTTCTGTATGGCTGGGGCATCCATCTTTAACCTACAGGTCCATAGAATACAGCAATTTTTCCAAGAAGCAGGAAATTTCAAAGACAGTTCCACCTATATTGGCAATTTGTCAGTAACTTTCTTCTGTATCCTGCAGAATGTCTAACAAGCTCTTTCATGAAGCAGGATTCCTGAAGGATTGTCTCACCTTTAGGCAAGTTCAGCAGTCATTTCTCTGTGGGACCTGCATGTCTAGTTTATTCAGCATAGGAGCAAGCAGTCCAGGCAAGAGTCTTTTCTTACCCAATGACTATCCAATGTCATAAGGACCATCTTTAGTGGCCATCATCCTCTTAAAGTAGCTTGCTGCTGCCAGGAGCAGATGTGCCTCACTGTTATGAAAAGTCCTAAGTTCTTAAACATTTAAATGCCATATACTATAGTCTTTGAAAGGTTTGAAGAATTTCTATCATCTGAAATACATCTAGAAAATCTAACTAACATTACTACAAGCTTAACTGTTATAGATAATTATCTATTTACCTATATTTCTTAATTATACATTACATTTTTAAATGAACTGCACAAACACAATACCTTCATCAAAATCAAAAATATACATATAATAAAATTGACCTTAAATTTGTATCAATAAACCAAGATTCATACCAATGTAAATCTTTATAGCACATTCCCCCTTAAATGAAAAGAAACATTTACAAATTTGGGCACAGTTCTTTTCAAACTGCTTCCTGCATTTTGTTGGATGAAGTAATTTTTGGGGGGTGTTCATGGTGACCTTTATGGGGGTCTTGGTCTATCAAACCACATTAGACTGGAAAGATTCCACAGGCCCTCATCCTCTGTGGAAACAAAAGAAGAAATTCATTTCAAAAGTAATATATCCTTAGACTCAAAATCTGAATTCAAGATAATTTTAACGTATATATGTTGGTTACTTAGCTTATTTATAGTCAAAAAATTCGAAGAAGACACATTATTAAACATAATCTAGACTCTCTGCATTTTTAACCTTTATGTGGTTTATTTGTTTTTACTCTATTACTTTTTAATATTTATTTTATTATCTTTACTCATTCAATCTTTTAAAACAATTTAGTTCTTTTTATAACATTCTATACTTTTTCTTTTCTCTTCTAAGCCTATGAAGATTTAACCAACATTGTGACCCATTTAGAGGTTTATATCTGTTTGAATCTGTTTTCATCAAATGTCTGTAATTATTTTTTGATCAGAAGCACTTCTTAAAATGTTAAGCACACCTTAAGAATCTAAGCAGCAGCATTGCTAGGGGAAATATGGCTCTGCCTGCTAGCTCTGCCCAGTCAAACATGGTGGACATCCATTCAGTGCCTGAGGCTGCCAAGTAGGAGCCTTCCTTACTACCTCATCTCTGATAACTTGCTGTCCCATGCTGCCACCAAGTAACTTTCAGCATGCTGTCCCTGAACCCAATATAAATGATCAGCTTCCTGAAAGAGCCAGTTCATGCTGGCACCATGACCCAGAAAACCACTGTTTCAAACCCACTTGGCTTTGATTTTCTGCTACTGCTGGATCAGGAAAACCTCTCTTGAAGTAGCTGCAGCATTCCACCAGCAAGCAGAGGCCATCTGGAAAAAAATCAGCTATTTTTTTTTTTTTAGTGTCTAGAATTCCTTTCCAAGCCCTCTAAGGTTTACATGGATTTAGTTGACCACCTTGGAGTGCCAATTTGTTGTAAGAGGTTGTTTACTCATTTTCCAGCTGCCCAGACTTCTAAAATAATAACACAAAAACTATATTATTTAAATCACTGCTTGGCCAATCACTTAAGTGTATTGCTAGCTAAGTCTTACATCTAGTATCAACCTATTTCCAGCATTTTATATTTTACTATGAGGCTCATGGCCAACCAGAAAGTTCTGGCATGTCTGTGTCTAGCAGTAGCTCCCTGACTTCTCCAAATGCTGCCTTCCTTCTCTCTACATTCAGTTTAGTTTCTCTGCCTAGCTCAGTTCTGCCCTGCTCTGCTATAGTCTCAAGGCAGTTTCTTTATTAACCAATGGTATTAGAGCATACAGAGGGGACTCTTATATCTAACACTCCAATATTTTATTTCATATTTTAAAAATAATAATTTCTAGGAAATTTTTCAAAAACAAATATGGATTGAATGGATAAAACATTGAATTTTTATTTTTTTTATTTCTCATGATAGCATTTCTCTGTGTATCTCTGGCCGTGGGCATATCTAGCCAGCAGTCCCTTTGGGTGTAAGGCTGGTGTCAAGCAGAAGCTGAAATTTCAAAGCAGATCATTTTGATAGCTAGCAGTGCCTAGTAGAGTTCCAGTGGGGCTCATAGGGGAATGAGACCATTTCCGATTCTGGAACTAGGACAAAATTTTACAAAACTGCCTCCTGAATGAGTCCCCTCTTTCAAATGATCTGTCAGTGACATAAAGTTTCACTGAAATGTTGTAAAGGAATGTTGAAAATTACTGCAATTGTCAGGTGATATGAGTAGGAAACCTCCTTGAAATACCTGTTCATCTCTCATAGGCAAGCATTTTAAATGTAGTATATTTCAACTACATAGTTTGACTTGGATTTTGTTAATTAAAATAATATATTTTTACTAAAATATCAACAGTTATGATAGAAGATGAATGAGTAAATAACAAATGGCTATTTAGAATTCTAATCTCTGGTTAATCTCTGTGTCACACAGCTTAAAAATTAATACTATAGCCACACAATGGGAATGCACAGCTTTAATCTTAGTACTTGGGAGACAGAGTTTGAGGTCAGCCTGGTGTATGGAACTCTGTTTACATGATAGAATTATTATAGTTCCCACGAAGCTAGATGAGTTTCCTTCAGAAAGTGCTATCACAGTGTGAATGTAGTATCCTTGTCCTGCTGTCTTGCTTTTGCTCTCACCCTGTGAACAGTCATTTCTATTCACCAACCAGTGTGGAATATGTCTCAGACCAGAAGACAAACAGCTGGTGGGATATTCCCAGCAACCAGAACCACAAGGTGGAGTGCAAAACAAAAAACTCTTTTCTTTATGAATTAATCAGCCACAGGTTTTACTTACAATGACAGAGAAGAAGAGATAAAGAAGATCAATTTCAGCTCAGCCCTTCATAATTGCAGCATGGAAGCATCCACATACACCCAGGACTACAGAAGACACACTCAGTATATGATCTGTTAAACATAATTCCACTATGGGCCATTAAATGGCCCTATGATATAACTTCATCCTCTTTGGACTATTATCTGAGACCTAGATTGTGAATCCAGGAACCCATCAAATGGCACATTTGTCCTTGACCTAAAGATAGTTGTAAGCAAAATGGCTCACTGTAGATCACGGAAAAGAGTCTGATGACTTAATTCCAGAACCCCATACACAGGGTCAGGCTATCTGTCAGGAACTCAGTACTTGACACACTGGAAGCCCCCAAACTCCAAGAGT